TGCACAGGCAGTGGCAGAGTCTGAAACTGCACATACTGTTTGCACGGGCAGTGGCAGAGTCTGAAACTGCACATACTGTTTGCACGGGCAGTGGCAGAGTCTGAAACTGCACATACTGTATGCACGGGCAGTGGCTGAGCCTGCTGGAGCATATAGTGTATGAACAGGCAGGAGCAGAACCTGCCGCAGTGCATATGCTCGTGGAAAACATGGAGCGACCTCTTATCTGTACAGCTTTTGCTTGCTGGAATCGGTCAGGCACAGAGGACCACTCTCTCGGCTGCTCGGGATAAATGCCTGCTTGCAACGCTGCCTTTTTAATAGCAGGCAATTCGAGGCTTTTTACTTCTACCAAACAATGTCTGATTTATTGTTTCAATTACAGCTCTTGGAGGCTGGCGCAGAGCTGTTTGTAAACTTGAGTCAAATAAAAATGGAGATAAAAAACTCAACTGAATATGTTTTTCTACAGGGGGGAAACAATCGCTCAAACAGAAGCAGCTAGTTAACGGTAATGAATTCCACTCATTTGTCTACCAGATCAGCGTGAATAAAAATAGCAAAGTAGTCCAGTGCAGTTCTGGGCAAGAACTACTTTACTCCAAGAAAAGGCCAGTGTCTGAGTTTGAAGAGAGCAAACTTGTTTAGAAAACATCATCTGGCGTGCAAACATGCACAGGAGCTTAATGATGGTTTGAAAGTGTCTATTGAAATTCAGTGCCGTCTTTGTCTATACTGTATTACTATTAATGTTTGAAGGATAAATTACCCTCTTTCACTGTAATGCGTGTCACGTTCTTGTTGATTGTCTTTATTGTAATTGCTTTGGCAAACTGTGAATAGTCCTGTCTTTTCCATAAAAGCGCTTTATGGACTGAACTGAGAAAGAGAGAGACTCTCAGACAGGGACGGAGAGAGAAAACATGCAACGCAGAGGGACACCGAGAGACAGAGAAGGAAGGAGAAGAGAATCTTTTCCCGCAATTTAATCATGTTTAATACATACTTGCTAAAAACATCCACCCATTTTCTGACCGCTTCTTCCAATTCAGGGTCATGTGGGAGCTGTGGGAGAACAGGGAGAACATGCAGACTCCACATAGACAGCACCCCACGGCCCCATAATGGGAGGCAGCAATGCTAATTACTGCGTCACCGTGCCTTCCCTTGCTAAAAACATTCTAAGCCGAAAATAGCAATAAATAACAACAACAAATAATATTGTATATTAATTTAAGAAAATCTGTCTGATCTTGAACAGCAATGAAGGGGTTAGCGGAGAAATAGAGCACTGAGAGGAAGGACCCCTTGCCTTACGGAGTCTGTGAGATGCTTCTAACCACTGCTAAAAGCTCTGCTTGTCATAGCATTAACCACAAAGGGCCTATTAAAGCAAACTAAATGCCAGCAGTTTTTAGATCAAACACTGTTTTGATCAATTAAATAGAGCCCCTGAAGTTCAGAATGCCAAGGAGGAAATTCATTTAAGATGAAATGCATGAACAAGGCAGATGAAAGGAGGAGAAAATGAACTCTTTCTGCTTCAGAGCAGCATACCGGGCCCTGGAGCGTGTCCAGAGAAAGTAGCAGGACCAGAGTCTGGATTACTCTTTGAGGTCTGAGGTTATGCTAGTCATTGCAGTTGTGATCTAAAGGCGGGGGGGGGGGGGGGGTATACTCCTCCCCTTCCTCCCTCGTGAGAACATAAATGCACCCCCATTAAGTGACAAATATCCACAATCAGGTGGACAAGTGAATTCAGTTCTGCACATTCTTCTGTGAGGCAAGACTGTAGGACACTTGATTATAGAGGTGGGGTTGATTATAGAGGTGGGCTGCTGGGAGGGAGGCCAGGTGTTGAAATTGCTCACAGAGTGGGAAAGGAGAGGACTTGAGGGGTGAAAGGAGCTGTCTGTACTCAGTGGCTGACATAAGGTGGTACAACTGATTGCAGAGACCTTCTTGTTTCTGATGAGTACTTATCCGAGAAGCTGGGCCCTGTCCAGTGGAGATGCACTGTAGAGGATGTTGACAGACGATGGCCGCCTGGATTAGGTGTTGTGCTGTCAGGTGCTCACGCAGTGCCTCTGGGGTTAAGAGCGCTGCACTGTGGGACGGA